TATTAACGATTTCAAAATGTTAATGAATGATTTCTTAAGCAAAGAGATCTTGTGAACTGGTAATAGAGTCTATTGCTGTAAGCCTAGATAGGATGCGGAGAGTGCATCCTCGGGGGCAGAACCCGAAACTCAGTCCGGGTAGGCGAGGCACTTGGTTAGGTAAGTAATTTGTACTAATTACTTGCTGAAGCCTGTAACATGGTTATTTTCAGTTATTTTTTGCTTTGAGAAAAAGGATGTGAGGTTCTGGCTGTTCTGTCGGGACTGAATGTCTTATTTTATTTATGTATTCAATTATTTATTCATGCGCTCATTTATTTTAAATATTTCAAATTATATCCTACTGGGCCTTTCGCTCACGTTTTATGTTTTAAATGTTAAACCCCTCCAAGGAGACTCGAGGAGCGGTGCAGGGTAGCTGGAGTTGCTACTGTTGGATCAAGTGAGGATTGAGTTTATCCTCTTGAACAAATGTAAGGAATTTGAGAAATTATGTAAACCTATTTAATATTGGATTTACTAGACTGTGGTTGATGTCTGTTGTACTGATTAATTACATGAGCATGTATGTACGATACTGTATGTCCTGTGGGGTGGAGCCCTGTGTGTCAGAAGCTCCTGGATTATGTAATTCATTTATATTTTAATGCAGTTAAGTGTGGGGCCCGGTCTGGGAATCTGCTTTATTAATCCCTAATCGAGCTCCACGTCACCCACCCCGTTTGGGGGGCGTGACATAGTATAAGTGATGTTTTTTTAATTACCTTTGCTAATTGATTTCCTTTTTTTATGTGTGACAGGTGGAATATTTGTCTATTGATAATGGTATTCGAAATCTTGAATGGGCAGTTTTTCCTTTAGGTAATAATAATGATGCTATTCCAGAAGATGCAACGACAAGAATTATTTCATTGTTTGATCTAATCTTTGTAATGATTACATTCCATAGATACGTTTTTCCAGTTCCGCCATGACCATAGATAAAAAAAGTATTGTATTTTGTATGATTAAGCAATTCTAAAATTTCTTCGTAAATAGATCTTTGTTCATTATTTAAATTATGTACTAATATATTATTTTGATGTTTTAATTCATTTATGTCGTAGTTCAGTTCTTCTCGTAATAGTTTGTTATTTAAATCTTCTATTAATGATCCAATCGAAAGTGACAAATTGAAATGTGTTAGAGTTGATGAATTTATATTTAATAATTTCTCTAATTCATACAGTACAAAGCTGCGTAATTCAATTTCAGGAAAATTTGGGTTATTGAAAAAGGTTTTAATCTTGTGTAAGACTTCATCTGTCATTAGTTTCTAATGTTTCTCAAATAATTTGATCAGATTACTGACAATACAAAATAATAAGATTGTGACAAATAGTTGTCGTAGTTGGATTGATGTTGACCAAGGTGAAGCCTCTGATATTGATTCATCCCATTCTATATCATCTCCTAGTAAGCCTAGTGCATAGCATGCGACCTGGTTTGTTGGATATATAATGTTATCAACTATTTGAAATTTTTCGTAACTTGTTATTCCTTTTTAATGGTTCAATAATAGTGTTAAATAATATAATTTTCCGCTATTTGGGTGTATATAAAAGGTTCGTCCAATTGTATGTTCTGTTTTTCTTGGAGACCAATATTTATATTTGTTATTTCAAACATATTTGCTTCGAAATTCAATATAAGTTAATTCTCTAGCATTGATATCGTATTTATTGGTTTCCATCCACTCAGTAAGAGTTATTTTGTGAATAACAGGTTGTCTTATTATATTATTAAGGCATTGGTTAAAATTGAATGTAATATTTTGTGACTTTTCTAAGTGTATTGATAAGCGTTGAATTGCAGGGTTTCTGTGATGTGTGCGATATTCATATAAACGGCACATTGCTTCATATGGCGTTATATATCTACAGTTGATATAATTTTTTATTTCATCTCTTTCTTTATAAGTTATTTCTCCAGATTTTCCTGTACAGATGTTGCCTTCTATAACCACTCTTATTCTGTCTGGTCCATTTGTCAGATATTTGAATAAATATTTTATGAGCATAGATTGAGAATAGATTTCTACATTGATATGGGCATGAAATTTCATGCATTGATTTTTATTATAGGGAACTAACTACATATCTACTATCTAATTTTATGCCTTCTTTTTGTACATAAAAAACCGTATCTCTTCGTCTGTAATTTAGTATTCCATTTTCTTCGATAGTTGTTTGATTTTTGAATTGTTTTGGGATTTTTTTTTTAGCACTGTGAATTTTTTATGCATGGAGCATTGGTTTTAGATAGACCGCGTGGTCCATGGATCACAAATTTGACTACGACATTATGTTCTAATGGATTCTTTACTGGATCAGGTATTTCTACAGAAATGTGCTTGTCTATTTGTGATAGTTCATGCAATTTTTGATCAGGTTGGAGTCAAAATAGGTAATGACAATGTGGCAACCCCCGTTTTTAGAATTCAACAACATATAGGTCTACAAAATGAAGAAGAGGAAAAGAACATTTAGGCTTTAATTAAATGAGGAGAAGAAGATAATTAAAATTTTTTTCATTAGTTATAAAATTGAATAAGTTTTGAAAGAGTGCACTAACCTGCTATAAATGTTCCAAATATTTTTTTCATTTTTGATAATAGATAAAAAATTATCCAGTTTCATTTTGAAAATCCTTGTAATGATATCTGGCATGTCTTCAGGTTTTTAACCAGGTATTTTTGTTAAGGCTCAAGTAATTTCAGGCCATTTTCGATTACATGTAAATGTTATGAATAAATCAGGATTTCCATAGAATTTATAAATTACCATTGCATCGTGATAGTTTTGAATCATGTATCTTGGACTTCTGATAAGACTGGAAGGAAGAATAATTCTTTTTCCTATTGCTTGTCCATTTGTATCTCCTCTAGTTATAGCATCTTGAATTCCTTGATAAATTTTAAATCTTAAATTTTTTTAATTTTTTCTAATATAGTCTAGACGATCTTCTTCTACAGAAGTATATGCATCAACTACATATTGTTGGAATAGTCTTCCTCATCTAAAAAGAGTGTTGCCCTGGAATTTGCATTCTTGCAATTGATAGCAATAAAATTCTCACATAGAAATTCTTTTTCTTGCAGATTTATTATTTGGGTTATGTATAATTGTTTTTAGATCTATTCTAAAACCATCTTCGCCATAGGGAAATAGTAAAGGGTATTGCAAGGCCATATAAGATGGATGTAATTTTGTAATTCTTTGTAAAGTATCTATTCTGTCTTGGATTATGATGTCTCTTCCTTGTTCATATTCACCGATGTCGCCGACTATTAGACCAGCTATATCATTTGAAGTTGGCAATTCATATTGACTATTGTCGGTGTTCCTTCAGCCTATAAGTCTCAATCTCATGGATGATATAGTATATTCTTTATATCTATCTCTTATCATTCGGAATGTTTTGACTAATACGTTTGTATTATCTAGCATTTTAATCAAACTTTCAATTATTGATCTGGTGAAATTTTGTGATTGGTCATCAAATGAGAATGATGATAATCGATTTTCAATTTCATTTTCTATATCATATATATAAAGCTATGCAAATTTTGGAGAATTATTGTTAATTGGTAGTAAAGATCTAATAAGATGATGTATTTGTCTATTTATTTTGAAAATATATGGACTGTCAGAATTTTGTGTACTTGTTCCTATGTTTGCTCCAAATGAAGTAAAAGCAAACATAGAATTATATGTTTGTATATTTTTTGGGAAATGTTTGCTTATTGGACGTTCATGATAATTAAGTAGTTCACCTAATACAACAGGTGTTTGTCTAAGTAAATGCAACTTTATTTTGCCGTTTCTACAACAAAGATTAAATGCAGGGGAGCTTCTATTTTTTACTCGTTCATTAAACCAAAATAGAGCACCAAAATATTGACAGGTGCAAGAGCAATCTCCAATATCAATATACATATTGAGAGTACCTATAAATAAAAATGAATGGCAATTATGGGATCAACATATAAGGAATTAATTTTTTGACTATAAAAGGAGTTTTAATCGTTAGAATGTAATGATTATTATGGATAGGGAAATTACTTTGTTGATTGTAGCTGCAAGATGTTGACGGGGATGGCATAGTATTCAGTTAAGACTGGAAAGGAATTAGCATCGCATCAAATCTGGATGGAAGGGTTGTCGATACGGATGCGCTATCTTGGTTAGGTTGGTTTCAATGTTCAGTAATTGCGTTCTGAGAATCTCGATCCATTTCTGAAATAATACGATGCATATGTTAATTTGATTGAGATTGTTTCCTCCTAATTTTTGTCTCATCCATTTGGTGAATGCAATATAATATTGTTTTGGCTGTTGACGGATAAAGGAAAATGTTACTTTACAGTAACTGATGTAGGTTTATAATTTAAATTGCTATCTTAAGCTAAAAATTATGGATATTTTACTTATTTATAAAGAATTAGTTTAATATCTAAGATTTTTATATAAATTAAGTTTAATGGTTTTTTTTTTCTTAAGTATAAATTGGCATTGTAGATTAAAATCTAAGATTAGTTTAGCAATTATGAAGAAAGAATAGGATTAGTTGCCTAAGTAATGTGGCTGTCACTAATTGTAATCTAGGGAAAAAAAGGCAGTAGATTGCTATATTGAATTCGGTAATAAATGATCTAGCAGTTAATGTTCTAATATTGTTTAATCTAATTTTTTTTTTCTATACATATCAAAATTCTCCAGTCATAATAATTGATTAATAATGAATTTAGCTGAAAATTTATTACATTACATCTCTCTTACCATCATCTTATCAGGAGGAAATAATAGAAAAAAGCCAATAATGAATTTAATTGATAAATTTATTACATTACATGTTTCTCACTATCATCTAATGAGAATGAAATAATAGGGAAAAATATATAATAATGATATGTATTTATGATTATGGAAATCTGAGATTAATAATGCTTAAATGGGCTGTGTGAAGGACAAATTAATAACGTAAAAAATATACACAAAGAAAATGACATACAGAGAAAAAAATAAATATGAAGTTTCATGTGTTGTAGCTATTTCCGTCAATATAAACAAACAGATTAGGAATTTTTGACGATGCAATGTAATTATATAAATTTTATAGTAAAAAGAAGAAAAGATGTTAAAATATTGGAAAGAAAATGATTAAGTGAATGAATAGATAAATGTTTGATAATAACATTTTGATTTAGCAGTTGTGGCTCAGATATTTAACATCTTTCATGAAATGTGATGAATGCAATTATTTTATAATTGTCACTGGCTGCCTATTAGTTTTGCATAAAATGGAAAAAAGTAATGGGAACAACAACAGACAAAGTGATAAAATTTGAGAATTGTGGTTGCCTATTCTTGATTTTCCATAGAATGAAAAACAATAATGGTAACAACACAATAGTGATTAATTATATAAGAGATTGGTGGTTTTTACAGTATAGAAATGGTTTGTATATTATATATATTTAGATATATTGTGATAAATGAGGGCAAAGGCGTGATTTGAACAAATTGAAAGTGAAGAAGACTAAAACATCCGCGGACAGAAAGAGAAATGCGGGGGGAACAAAGAACAAATCCGGTAAAATACAATGCTAAGTACAGTTATCCATCAAATTAGCAATCAAAATATGTAGGGAGAAGAAAGTTGAGATGGTATAAAAATTTTTGTGCAAAACAGTAAGCTAAATGAAAATAAAAATAGACTAGTCATTTATAACAATTTCAAGAGAATTTATACAAAACTGAATATATTAAGTTTCTTATTAATCATCATCGCCACAAAAAGTGTGTATGGAAAATAAGTGATTGAATCAAAAGTCAAATACTTTAGGTAGGTATGTGCTTAAAGAATAATAGGACTTAAAACATAAAAAGCGAAAAAAGAAAGGGTTACAAATTTATGATTTTCATCTAGGAGGGCAGAAAACCATGAAATATGCACATTAATATGATAAGAGAAAATCAATGCATTAAGAATCAGGAGTAGATAGTAGGTTGCTATAGGTAAAGGCTATTTTTCATACCTAGAACGCTATAAATCCTGTTCTAAAAATCAAACAGCAACTACTCAAATGTCAGGAGAGACCAAACTTGGCTATCCAAGTAATCTGTATGCAGCGAACAACAGTATATCAAAATTAGTAGCAATTAATAAAATCAATAATCATGTAAATGAGTACAATGATTAGATATTTAGAATCATAGAAGTGAAGTAGTATGCACATTAAAGACAATTATCTTAAAAAGAGAAAAGTGCACAAAATTAAGATAATGGATATATCAAATTAGAAAATAAATGAAGTAACGAAGTTTCAGATTCTGTATAATGAAATATGATGATATAATTCTTATATCAAGAATATGGCATATAAATTTGGTGATATAACTATTAATAAGTCGTTATGTCTATTATATAAATTATAGAACATGTACAATGCATGATAAGTTGTAATAGTAAAATGCAATGGTGTTGCGAAACTACCAGGTAGTTTAGGCCAAGTCTAGAAAACAGTGAAAGTGAAGGGGAAAGCACATGGGGAAAAGGACTCAACAAAAAAAGTGAAAAATAAAGTAATTAGAGAAACACTAAGGATCATGAATGACAAAATTGTCAAAGCAGTATATAAAAGATGAAAGATGAGGAACACTGAAGAGCATTATGGTAACCACAGACAACATGGAGGAGAAATGACCAGAAAGTCATTCAATAGGATGCGAGACGGCAGGAAGGAAAAAATAGTGATGCAAACAATTGTACATATATGTTCATATGTATATTTCCAGATTCAGTAAGGGAAAAAAAGAGAGGATTAAAATATGTAACAATATTTTTATTTCAAAATCATGGCTCAGGTTTTTGATATTTTCGGCAACGTCTGATGAATACTGGAACTTATATATTCATTGTCCTTTTATGGCTGCCTACTTTGGGCAACTGCATAAAGAGGTGAACATTAAGAAAGTATTATATTTCATCAGACGGATTATAATTCGTGTGCCAGAAAAAGTGACCAACCGGAGTAAAGTATAAAATTGAATTGTTCAGGGACTACCAGGTGAATCAAAACGGAAGGAAAAAGACATAGATTCATTATATGTGTAAAACGGGCAGAGGACAAGAACGAATCCAGAAAATTTGAAAGTGTGAGAAAATGTAAATGTACTTAAGCAGGAATAGAAAAAAAGAAAGGGGGGAAAAGAAAAAAGAGTGAAAGAAAGGGCAAGAAAATAGAAAAAGAAAAAGGATGAAGTAGAGGGAAAGGAAAGAAAAAATAAAACAAAAAATGATTAAAGTCTTCAGAAAAGCAGCAAACTTGATAAAAATGACAGAAAATATAAGGGTTGCAAAAGAGAAGGAATGTTGAAGGAAGAAAAGGAATGTAGATGTAAATAATTTTTGAACTTAAACAACAATGGAAAGAAGGTAAAAACATAAGAAGAAGCAAAAGGGACATAAAAAATGAACAGGAAAACAAAATCCAAGAAAATAAAATTTGTTCACAGTAATCCCTGGACAAATCACACTAAACTCAACATGTAAAGATCAATTATACCCATCATTGCCATATAAAAGGAGTAAATAAAATAGATAACGCGGGAAAAGAAAGAAAAAAGAAACAGGGGAAAAACAAAAGATGGAAAAAGGAACATAAAAAATTTAAACAGAATAGCAGCTAGACACAAAAGATATGAAATTAAGATGCATATATAGGTGGTAGGCAATAAGATATAAGAAGAGGAAAAAAGCATTTATTAACAAATCAACAGTAGACATTCATTAAATAACAGAATTTAAACTGTTACTAGTACCTGGAGCGCCTTAAACACTGCCTTAATTTTGAGATATCAACCAGCCAAAGCAGAAGGGAAGTAGTCAAAGATAAAGGGATAAAAAAATAGGGTACTAAATGATGGGGAATAAAATAAAGGAGTTAATGATCATGGAGGAAGCTAAGCTCAACACAGCTAGTCAAAGAGACAGGGATATACAAAGAAAGCAAAAAATGATCAACGGAGCTATGTAGTAAATTATCAAAGATGAAACAAACGAGAAGAAATATCAAGCGCATGGGAAAGGCAAATAAATGTACATGATAAATGCATGAAGAGCAGCAACATTGATAAATAAGGAGTAAAGTATGAAATATCAACAAATGGCCTGTGATTAGATAACACGTACCTGTAATTAGATAACACATAATAATGCACACTACATTAAATAAGGGATAAAAATTTCTTTATTAAATTATAAAATGAATACTACATTTACCTTCAGAGAAGACCAGAACAGAAGGGGCAAAAAATTACAGGGGAAAAAAAGATAAGAGGCAGCAAACAGAAGAGGCAAAAAAATTTTCTTCGCAAAATAGGGACGGATTTTGAATAATAGAACAAAGTCATTTAATATGCCTGCAGAAGAACAGATACAAATCATCGTAGTAGGAAGACAACTCAAAAATGTAGGCAGCACAGATCATCATCTTAATGATTAAAAGTACGCAAGAAAAATCAGGTATTATCCATACGTGGCACAAAATGAGTTACCATAGAATGCACCGATCTTCATAAGCTCTCTCAGCGCAAATCAAAGCCAAAGATCAACCGCCTGCATGAACACAAGATCACCTATCAATCAGCAAAGAACTGCAATAGACATTGTTGACCATGAAAAAACTTGCACGAAACATGCATGAGGAAAAAAAATCAAGCCGATACAGGACCAACAAAGAACAATGAAAGAATCCTGCAGTAAAACACAGGGGAAATCCAACAAAAATGACAAATACAAATTATGAAAGAACGCAGAAAAAAAGACACATAAAAACCCTAAATTTGAAACTTCCCAATTTCTGGACTAAAAAAAAAATCGAGACAAAAACTCCAAAGCAAAGCCAAAAAAACAACAAAGGATTGAAGAAGCCAAGATAAAGCAAAGCAAAGAAGGCAAAATGACAGAGACCAAAAAGGAAAGGAGACAAATCAAGAACAACCCAGAAAAAAGACACCGGGGAAAAAACGGGGGAAAAAAGGGGCAAACAAAAATGGGACTGGAAAACCCAAGATGAAGGATCTGCGAGAATGATACAAAAGAAAGAAAAGCACCAAAACTTTAAAGGAGGAAATGGAAGATTCTAAGCAAAAACAACTGAAACAAAAAATCAAAAAGGGATCGCGGGGGAGACCGGAGAAGGCAAAAGAACATAAACCGAAAAGGAAATGAGAAAGACCAAGAAGATTGCACAAAAAAAAGAGCCTCAAAATCGCAGGAGAAAAGGATCCATAGAAGTCAAAACGACAGGGGCAAAAAACCAAAAGAGAGAGACCGAGAAGAAGGGCAAAAACAAGACACAACGGACATTAAAAAATTTAGGCCTCGTTCACTTCGCTGATTCGAGTTTAAAATTTGAGTTGAGATGTAATTTTATATGAGAGTTTTTTACTGTAACAAAAAAGTTAAATGTGATTGTTTGTGATAGCTTTTTACTATAAAAAACTCAAATTCTAAACTCGAATAAGTGAAGTGAACCGGGCCTTAGTCTTCAGCAAGGAGGGGCAAATATGAGAATTCACTGTTCATATACTGTACAGGCAACCGTGATTCCTGCTCTTCTTTAGTATATACAAGGAACGTGGTGAGGAGGGGGAAGTTTTTCCCTCCAACCATTTTAAACTTTGGCTGAAATCTCCCCAAAAGTCTTCGTCGGTAAGGCATTTTTAATGTGATTTAATGATAGTTTTCGTCGGTAAGGCATTTTCAATGTGATTTAATAATAGCTTTCGTCGATCACAGAGGAAGGGTTACCAAAAAGATGAATAAGTGGGTTATTGGGCAGCCAATGGGGTTCCGTGGCCCTTTTGGGTGAGCTTAGAGGATGGCAGCCAAGTGGTCAAAGGTTTGCCTTCTCTTATTTGTGTATATTTTGTCTTCTTCTAGTTTTTTGGGGAAGAGAGAGTTTGTTGTTTTTTGAGGGAAAAGGTGAAGGAACGGGTAAAGGGTTATCGTAGTGCACAGTATTCATGAAAGCCTGGAATTGCACAAATAACAACTCTAAGTTTGGACAATTGGTCTTACCTCGTCTAATTTCCTCCATAACCCACATTATCCTAATTCCTTCATAGACCCAAGACCACCCCAAGTGGGCCAAGGACCTAATTAGGTCGGATAAAATGGGTCTGGTCACATTCCTTAGCATGCCAAACCACGGCCCATATAGAAGTTCCCAAAATGTGGCTTGGGTCCACGTACCATACCTGGAGTTGTATTTATTAGATCTGGGCCGGGCTGATACCCTGTAAAATTTTGGGTATCGACAGCTACCAACTAAATTATTATAGGATTTATATAGAATATCAAAGAAATGAAAATAGTAATGAAATGATGAAAACAGAAACAGGAGGAAAAAGAAGAAAAAAGACGTGAGGTTAGAAGAAATTAAAGAGAATAAATAACAGGAGAAAAAGGACATGACAAAAGAAAAATGTCAAAAATATTAAGTCCTATAAAGTCACAGAGAGAAAAGGAAAGGGAGAAAAGATAGTGTGCCATAGGAAGAACATCAAAAAGAAGTTGGAGAAGAGGATCATATTTGCATAAATCTTAAATAATTTGGGCAACATCAAAGATAGCAAAATCATTACTAACAATTACCTGATACATGGCAACAAAAGAAGAAAAATACTTCATCATCACCAAAAAATAATAATAGCCTAAGAAAAAATAAAATAAGTTCGAAGAAGAAAAGTGAAAACAGTGATAAAATAGATGAAACAGAAACAAGAGAAGAAAGAAAATAAACATGTAAGGTAAGAAGATATCAGAAAGAAAGAATTAGAGCAGAAAACAACATGAGAGAAAAAGTAAGGTTCGAAATGTTAAGGCAGATAACAACATAAAAAAATGAAATCACTATTAACAATAATCAGATACATAATATGTTGTTGTAATATAAAAAAATAAAAGAAGAAGACACTGAAAAAGCCTACTAATCAAATGAATAGCAATATTCATATCCAAACCAAAAAAAATCATATAAATGATGACGAACAATTGCAAACTAACAACGGTGCTAAAAAATTAATAGAATGAAATAAATTATATACAAAAACTGTAACTTACAAATCATATAAAAACTAACCCCAGTGATAACAAATAAGAGCAATAACTTTAACATTAAAAATTGACTTCCCGATAGTAATAACATAATCAATAGTAACATCATTATCACAACATAATAAACTTAAGAGATAAATTTACAAACGAACAGATTCATATAACTGATCTTATCAATATAATAAACAAGTCCTCTAAAACAATAAAGAAACAACTATAAAAGTAAATAAAGTATTACCTCAGTTGAAGAAGAACAATAGATAAGCAGACCCAGTAGGACAAGTAAGAGTCCAAAACAGAGGGAAGCAAACAGAAAAATCCATTATTGAAAACTGACCAAGGCAAAGTGATGAACCAAAGATCCAGAAGACAGTTACAATCAAAATAGAACCTTAATACTACTAAGATTTCTAAAGAGCAGGATGACATAGAAGGTATAAGAGAATGTATTATAAAAGTTGGAGAAGGAAAACAAAGAAAAAAGGAGAAACCGTAATAATGAGATAAAACACAATAGTTATAAACAAAAAGAACAAATTTTTGATGAAGCACTGTCACGCCCCCCAAACGGGGTGGGTGACGTGGAGCTCGATTAGGGATTAATAAAGCAGATTCCCAACCGGGCCCCACACTTAACTGCATTAAAATATAATTTCATTACTACAGAATCCCGGAGCCTCTGACACATAGGGCTCCACCCCACAGGACATACAGTATCGTACATACATGCTCATGTAAATAATCATTACAACAGACATCAACCACAGTCTAGTAAATCCAATATTAAATAGGTTTACATAATTTCTCAAATTCCTTACATTTGTTCAAGAGGATAAACTCAATCCTCACTTGATCCAACAGTAGCAACTCCAGCTACCCTGCACCGCTCCTCGAGTCTCCTGGGAGGGGTTTAACATTTAAAACATAAAACGTGAGCGAAAGACCCAGTAGGATATAATTTGAAATATTTAAAATAAATGAGCGCATGAATAAATAATTGAATACATAAATAAAATAAGACATTCAGTCCCAACAGAACAGCCGGAACCTCACAGCAATAGACTCTATTACCAGTTCACAAGATCTCTTTGCTTAAGAAATCATTCATTAACATTTTGAAATCGTTAATACGACCCCACGAACTACTCAAGCCGCGGGCCCCATGACTGGACAAGTCATGAGGTTCCATGACTAAACAAGCCATAGTTTTCAAAGCATTTTCTTTCACAAATCAATCCCTTTCTTTAAAACATTTTCAAGGCCAAAATCCTTTTTGAAAACAGGCTCACAAGGAAAAGGGATAGAAATCCTACCTCGCACAATCAAACCTGGGACTAGCGTTGCCTTTTCTGGCTTCCGCTTCCTCAAGCCCCTTCAGTCTAAATCCTTAGCGATCACTCGAATCCTTCTCTTGACGTTGAAAACTCTTTGAAATCACTCTTGGTTCGAATCCGGTTTTGATTTGAGACACAAATGGGAGAGAGAGAGGGAGAGAGAGAGCACGGAAGAGAGAGAGAGAGAGAGTGAATGCACGGGAAGGAAGAGAAAAGGAAAAGAAAAATAAGAAAAGGAAAGAAAAGACATATGGTAAAATATTTAAAATGACAGTCCAGAAATGCGCCCATACACACTTCTGGTTTAAAAATAAAATTACTCAGAATATTTAAATACCTTGGAATTATTTAAATTTACACATGTCAGAAACATTTATTTATTAATATTCAATTAATAAATTCAGATTAGGCACACTAATAATCTCAATTATCTTAATTAATCTCAATTAATTCTTCAGGGTGTTACAAGCACTGATAGCAATTCTTGGGAAAAAATATCAACTGAGATAATCATTAGTTAACAGGTGTCACGAAGCATGAAAACCATCGAGAAACTGAATGAATAATGAACATACAGTAAAAATTTGTGTTATACGGAATTATAGCAAAAAAATACATGACAAAACAATATCTAAACACTATGACATTGTAAAAACTCTCTACAAATTAAAAGAAACAACTATATCAAAAACTAAGCATCCAGAAGATAAGAGAAGAAAATCATTGAAAGCGTAAAAAAAAAAGAAAAAAAAACATCGATCAATAACATCACAGACAAAAACCACAATAAAAAAGTAAAGAAAATAATTTTCTTTTTAAAAAGAGAAAAGAACAGATAAAAAGAGAGATAGAGAAAATGTTCTCTAAACAAAAAGGATAAAAAAAACCCAAAAAAAAAGAAGAAAAAGTAAAAAATTATGTAAAGAAAAATAACAATAAAATCCAAAAAAACTAAGAAAAAAATCGATTACAAAAGTCCTTTGCAGAACAACGAATTAGAAGAGACGGACAAAGGAAAAAAATCAGAAAAGGAAATCCAAAATTAGAAGAATGGATGTGATTAAAGAACCGAAACCCTAAATTACAATAATTGATTACAAAAATCTTCTACAGAACGACCAAAGAGATGAGACATACAAAGAAAAAAAATAAGAAAAGGAGATCCAAAATCAAAAGATAAAAACGAAACCAAAAATAAAAAACTTCCGAAGCATCTAAATTTCAACGGGGAAAAAGATTAAATAACCGAAAGACAAAGCAATTCCTAAAATCCTGTCAAAAAAGGAAAAAAAAATTAGCAGAATAAATCCAGTTTTAGAAAATGAACCTAAACAAATCAAACGAAAGTACATAAAAATCAGAGATATAAAAATAAATCAAATAAAAAATAAATCAGAGATATAAAAAAAATCAAAAAAATCAGAGATATATAAAAATCACAGAAAAATAATATGAAAGGAAACCGAAGCATAAGAATGCATGAACAAATGAAAAACGAAGCAACAAAGCAAAAGAGCTGCAGAGAGAGAAAAGAAAGGGAAAAGAGAAATGCAGAAAAGAAGTGAAGCCTAGAAGCTTCACGGAAAGGAAGAGAGAGAGAGAAGAAAAGGGACAAAAGAATGCCCAGAAGAAATGAAGCTAGAAGCTTCACGAAAAGGAATAGCAAAAATCATACAGTGCTAATTTGAGTCAAAATTACGAAAACCTAATGAAAGAGAAACGAAAAACAAAACTACAAAACAAAACTAACATAAAAAATGAATCCCAGAAGCCTTACGAAAAGGAAAAGGAAGAAAGAAAGAAGGAAA